CGTATATTGGTTGTAAAGCAGGCGGTTGTCGAAGATGGCCAATGCTACCGTTGACTCGTAAAGCGATAAGGGACGCTCTAAAGACGATACTCTAAATGCAACAAAATTGCCAAGTTGCATTCACTGTAAAACGATAGGGGCCCCAAAACGATCGTAGCACAAACAAATAATTTTGACGCCGGCTCACATAGGTCTCACATGAGCCACCTGACTACCCCAACACACAGGCGCTAGCAACCAGGGATCGAACCACCCGACAATCTGTCACCTTGGCCAGAATAGCTCGCATGTGCCCCCGCAGAAAGACACACATGCCCCAGCGCACAAGGAGACACACGCACACGGACGTACCAACCCACCCACCCACCCACCCACCCCAAACAAGCAACAACGGCGCAAACCCAGAAGCAAACAGACAAGAAACACCCTCAAAAGCGGCGTCGGTTCTGAATTGCAGGCAGGTCAAGCACGTCCAGCTGGCCAGACAAAAAAGGATAAACATATGAGCAACCACACTCCGCAGCACATCGTATTCTACACTCAAGCTGATCAACAACTTGAGGTGTTGTTCAAGTTGATGCGACAATCCTGGCAAAAGGAAGGACGCACGCTTCGCATCGGCAGACGCACGCGCTACATTGTTGTTGGCTGTGTGTTGTCGGTTGTCGGTTGTCGGTTGTTGTGGTTGCTCTGGTGGTTGCGGTTGTAGTGGTGGTTTTGATTGTTGTTCTGGTTGTTGCAGCTGTTGTTGTGGTATTGTGGTGGTGGTGGTGGTGGTGGTGGTGGTGGTGGTGGTGGTGGTGGTGGTGGTGGCGGTGGCGGTTGTGGTTGTGGTTGTGGTTACAACTGTGGTCGTGGTGCTGGTGGTTATTGGTGCTGGCGATGGCTACAGCGCTGGTGGTGGCTGATTGCCAGACTCGGGCTCGCACAGACCTCGCTTGCCGGCTCCAAATGAAATTTGTACGGCCAAACGGGCGTGGGCAAGTTGGAACTATTGGGCATAACCGAAGAACATATGTCCCGAAGAACCCTATTGTGACCTTGCCGTCTGTGCTGAGAAATGTACCAGCCGACAGTGTATTCAAAGGGATATTTGCGGCAATGTCCTTGTCGGAAATAGAAAGTGTGTTCATGATTCGAAGAGAGTGAGAGCTTCGCAACAAGCGATGCGCATACACAATCAGATGCGAGACAACCATGTCGGGACAGGGCTGTGCACACAACCCCCACACCCCCACACCCTTGCTTGCTCGCTCTTCCTGTGCAGAAGTTGGCTGTATGCTGGCAACCCCCCAGGCGACGACCCTACCGTCCCGCAGCCGCGAGCTTGAGCTTGAGTCATCGCCGCAGGCTGCGTCCCATGCCAATGCACAACACGGTGCAAGCCCTCCCCAAGCTACGACGAAATTCCAGCACATCTCTTGGCAGGGAGAGCCTACTTGGATCTACTGCTGTGGACAGTGGCAGGAGTGCCTTTGTGGAGGCATCTTGTCATGGATTCGCGTTTGTGGGGGCACAACGGTTCCTGCTGTGCCACGACTCGATTGCTCTGGACATTGCTGTTTTCGGGGCAAAACGATAACTGTTGGTCGGGTTGGGGTGGATGCAGGTGTTTTGTTGAAGGTTCTGCAGTGCTACATCCAGAACACTGTGGCATGAAGGCTCCTGTAAAACTTGCACCCGCAGTGCCCGTGAGAGGCCGCGTCAAGTGGGGCAACGAAGGTAAGTGGCAGCTGATCGAGATGCCCGAGGCAGAATTACCAACAGTTTAGGCCGTAAGTTCCAAGGCCACGCGTGTGTTGAGATCATGATCGAGGCCGCCGAAATAAGTGACGCAGGAAGATAGCTTTGCCGGTGTTGCTTCTGATGACCCTTTTTTCGAAGTGTGAGTAAAAATCGGAGATCTGGAACGTTTCTCACGCCAGGGTCAAAGTATCCAGAAGGTGATGTGCAGCATTGCCGCCTGTTTGCAAGTTGCAATCAGGTGTGACAAAGTGCGGCGGCGTACAGAGTTGAACATGCTGAAGTTTGGCCCCGCGTCTCCAGCATTTCAGGACAAGCTCGGAGACCTGATTCCGGGGGATGGCGGGAAGCATTGCCAATGCGAAGTTACCCCAGGCCAGCCGCAGCCTAGCGATTCCTAAACCTGAAAGCTTTGCAGGACGTGCGATCTGTCCTTCTGCCATCCTCACAAGACTCGTATCAATCGACTGCGGATGTGTGGGGACGGAGGCTCCCCATCGCACTTTTCAGTCAGGTACATCCTTCTACCGTCGCCTGAACCCACTACTCATGCCGGAACAGCTTGCCGAGTCCACTGGATCCAGGCCGCCACCGGGAATCGCTGTTTGGAAATCCGGAGTCTCCGCGTTGGCTTCCAGAGGTTGTGTTGCCAGACGTGCTCGTACAAACCGTTCTCGTGGCCGAGCGATGCGATTTCACAGCTGGATTGCTGTGTTGCGACAGCAGCGGGTGCCAAGACCATCCGGAGTAGCTCTTGCTCTCTCTCTCTCTCTCTCTCACTCACTCACTCACTCACTCACTCACTCACTCTCTCTCTCTCTCTCACTCACTCACTCACTCACTCACTCACTCAATCTCTCTCTCTCTCTAACATCTCTCCGCATCTCTCTATTAGGCAAGCCGTCGCAGCAGCTGTTGAAGTCTGAGACCACATTGTGGCAGGCTGATTGGCTCTTGCGAGATCTTCGAAAAGGGAAGGTCTGTGGGGCCCCATGGGCTTGCGCAGTGGCAGGCGATCAGAAACATCAGCTGACAGTCACACAGTCTCTGTGTGTGTGTGTGTCTGTGTCAGAAGACTCCGCGGCCAGGCGACGGAAGCGCCCCTTGGACTCCAGCTCTGAGAGGTGGTAGCAGGAAGCGACTTGTGAGATGTGTCGCTGCATGTTAAACTCGGAACCTTTATAACTTTATGCATGGCACAGCCCTGGGCATGAGGGTACGGAGCTGAGAGCAAAGGTTTTGCTCTCCTCAGTGGCATGAAAGAGCACGCCCGGGCCTTACGCCTTACGCTTGCCTTCTGAGCGAAGCTCAGGAAGAACGAGTCTCCGAGGCTACTGTACGGGGGAGAATTCGGTGAGTCCGACCGTTTGGCCGTTCCAGCGCAAGTGTCTCTGAGGCGACAATCCGAAGCTGCAAGCTGGGAGCAAGCAGGTGGACCTCGGCAACTAGGCTGTTAATTAGTAACCCTTGCTGGACTTCGCCATCATTCTACTGAAATTTGGTGCCGGTGTGATTGACGCAACCATGTATCATTTCCACCGGCTTGCAATCCTTTATGTATTCGTCTTCACTGGCTTGGCAGGGTAACTGTTCAGTGTTTCTGATCCGCTGGTTTTTTGTTCAGCGACCGGCCGACCTCCGCTCCTTTGTACGTCCATGTGGTCGTTCTCAGACTCAGCTTTTCCAGACTTGAACTGGCAACTCCCATGTGCACGACATATCCTGAGTCACGTGGACTCCAGCTTTCGTCCTGCCAGCGACAAGGCACTTTGCAAGGGCTGATGAGGGTCCGAATTGATCACCGTTTCCTCAAGAACTACGAGCGGCTTGCCGCGTCTTGGCAAGACAGGAGAGGCTGGCCAATTCCAACAAGCGTAACCAACCCCGAAGTATGTTCCTCTTGCTAGAGAGGTTGAAAGCCTTGTGCAAACACTAGAGTTGACCGCATCCAGGCAAGAAGCAAAGCGGAATATCACCGCCAACTGGATGTAAGCTGGAGGACTGTAGGCCCGAAACATGGTACTACAGCCTTAGGACAAAGGCCGCCCCCCTTGTACAGAGAAATTGGAGTTCACAGACGTGTCCGATTGTTGACTAAGCACGTGGCCTTGCCTAAGGATAAAGACGGCTGGATTGAGAAAGCATTTGCGGCCCGGAAGCAAGTCAACAAGACGACTTGCACACATGACGGTCGGCCTAGCTGCCTTGAGCAATCTTGAGCAGATAGCTTCTTCAATGCAAGTCCCATCATTACAAGCCATGCTTGCCTGCGTACCGGTTGCCAGACGTTGCTTCATCAGTAATCTCTTGATACAAGCTCTTTGGCACTCCGCGGCCAAACCAGAAGCCACATCCCAGGTCAACTACTATGCAGGTGCACCAGACGGCAAGCACACAAAGATGAGCAGGGAACTCACTGCGCCATTGCGGGCATCGGTAGTGAGCATTCCTTGCTCGCAAACTGTAGCTATTGCACAGAAGCTCATCTCCGAGCAAGGCGAAGAATTGGTCCGGTCCGTGCATCTCTTCTCCAACGAACCGATCATCGTCTTCCACCTCGGCAGCCTAACTCCAGTTTCCTGGCTAAGACGCAAAGCAGCCCTTTCAGTCGCGTCAGTTTACTTCAGCAAGTGGCAGCTAGACTCAGTTAGATGCAAAAACAGCATCAAGCCGGGTGAAGATCATGATGCCCTTTCTACCTCACCCGGTTCTCTGAATCCAGGACGATTGGACTGCCAGCCGCTTTCCGCGACTACTGCTCATGTCACTGCCTGAGAGAGATTTTGCAGAGCTTGTCAGACTGAGATGTTCTGGCAGCTGCTCAGGAAGAGTTGATCCCTGCATAGAACACCTGAGTCTGTTTGGTGACAGGCATGTATCTCCTTTGGGTCCAGCTGTTCCTCGGAGTCGCCGACCGGCAGTTGGGAAAAAGTGATTGGGCATGTGTTTCTCAATCGGTGTATGATAAGGGGATCTAGAACAGAAACTCTGCGGCTAGCCTGTGCGACTGTGTCAGAAGGCTTCAATTTCAACAAGATCCGCTCCTTTCTTCTGGCACGCGTGCGCGTGGGCGTGGAGCTGGACTCGGATCAGTTTGTGGCTCCAGGCCACGCTGGCACTTTGCAAGGCTCTTTTTTGCAGATGACAAGCAGGCGATCCTTGACTTTCTTGTGGAGCTGATTCTCTGCGCTGCAGGCGTGGACTACATGTTCAACATGACCCAGAGGGAGATCACGAAGGACTACCCCATCCCCATCCTGCCGGTGCATTACTTCAGCCACCAGCGCAGCATTGTCATTCGGTCGTGACCTGTGTCAAGAAAATTCATTGTAATGATAACTGCTTGGACACGGTGTGGAACCTGAGCAACTTTGATTCTGCTGCCCGAAGAGTTGTCAGTGCGGCCAAGGGCTCTTCCGACATGTTACCCCAAACTGCGATTCCAACTGCAGCTTGCAACACGCGGCGTGCTGCTTCCTCGAGCCGTCCCCACCAGCCTTCTTCTTCGAATTTTGTCACGATAGGTTAACGCATGCTGGCGCTCCGCTGAACCAGCCCAGTAAGGTTGCTACCTTCCTTCCACACATTCCTACCACGTTCGTGCTAGGTTTCACACAGAAAGATGCACCTTCCAATATCTGGTGGCGCCTGCGCCTTAGCGTTTTGAGGCGAACGGTGAAAGTAGCAACCGGGCAGCCAGCCACAGTCGACAAGAGGCAGGAATGCAGCTCTGCACTCCGCATTTTGACATCGCTTAGGCCGCTTCTGCACAGATCCACCGCATTGCGAGCGACACTCCATGCGCTGGAGTCACGCTCATCCGACCTGGACTTTCTGGGCTCTTCCGTGGATAGGCGACTCCACAGCAGAGCATTGCAGAGCCACGCCTTGACCTGAGAACTGCGTTGTCCCAAGCAGGCACCTGGCTCCGAAGGATTCTGCGGGATGAGACACTGCCGGACTTGGGAACCGGTTGCGGCTTCAAGTTGCACCAGTTTCAGAAAATACGCTTCCTTCATTCGCTCACACAGTGTGATGCTCCAAGGTGCGTTGAGCCAGTAAGCCGAATTGCTCCTGCGCAGCTGTTGCAGGAGGCGCAGGACATGGGTGCACTTCGGGTTGCTGACATTCCGGAGGACCCTGTCCAGAACAATGGGCACCGACAAGAGACTTCAGGTGTGTGCAAGGTGGACACTGGTGCACACCACATGTCAGACGCGTGGCTTGTACCTTCAAGGGTGTTTATCTTCCCGTAGGCAGGGCAAGTGGAAAGCTGTGCTATGCGAAGCGCAGAACATCAGCGAGCAGGTATTGTCTGCAGCAGTTCTTGCGTGACACTATAGTTGCCATGACAGGACGAAGACATGCTGAATGTGGCTGCTTGGGAGGACAAGGCCTGCAACATGTTTGCTTTTCGTGTTGCACCGAGCGGGTCTGTCAGTAGCAGAGCTGCAAGGGCAAATGACTTGGAAAACTGGCCAGGTCACGAAGCAGTGGTGCAAGTTCGACAACGACTCCTGGCTGCGTGGAGGAGGCTTGTGCCAGGTGCCGTCTCAGGCTGTGATGCCTCGGAGTTCTACGGTCACAAAGAGCTTGTGGCGAGCCTGCTCTTAGCTGTGCTTTGCTTGTTCGCTAGAACCCCCTTTCAGTGAGGGCTTCATTCAGGTGCAAACCCTAAGCCCAGCTCGGCATGTCAATGTCTTCTGTCGTGGACTCACCCCAGGACCGAACCGAGTTCGAGGAGCCTCATGGATCGATAAAGAGAGACTGCTCAGCGCATCAGATCTGTTGATTTGGCTCCACTTTTGCATCATTTGTGCATACAAATACCCATATAAGCAGACGGACACGCAGACAGAAAGACAGGCAGACAGAAAAAAGGATCATTGGACATGTACATCTTGCACATGCAAGAATCAAAACCAGCATATGCATTCGTTTCTTTATCAAACTATTGACCTAGCTACGTACATGCGAAACTACGTACACACATGCTGACAGACAGACAGACAGACAGACAGACAGACAGACAGACAGACAGACAGACAGACAGACAGACAGACAGACAGACAGACAGACAGACACGGACCGACAGACAGACATGAAGAATATGGCACACGTGCACATGCAATAACTTGTGATACTGGTCATGGTGGTGAGGAGTGATGAAGAAACAGAGGCCACCATGACAGAGAAGTAGCAGCAGTAGTCGGTCGTCGTCGACTTGGTCCTCGTCGTAGTATCACTATCTGCCTCTGTTGTCACGGCTGCACTCATCAGCGTTACTATGTTGTTGTTTTTTTTTTCATGGGGGTGGTGGCCGGAAGAATGCCGCTGTTGCCAATGTGGCCAAGCTACTAGCAAGATTACTTCCATCACTGTTTCTGTGTTTGCGATCGCTGCTGTTGGCACGGTTCTGAACATGATGACTACTGTTTATTGTGTTGCTGAGTTTCTCGTCACAGAGTTGCACTCTTGTCTTCGTCTGAGCCGCTGTGCAGAGGGATCCTGGACCACTGGGGCCTTTGCTCATGCTTCATCCACACTTTCCCAGCCCAGGATGATCCGTTGGAACACGGGAAATGCCAATAAGTGCCCCTCCGGCACTGGTTGTTCCAACATCATGGCTGATATGCGCTTCTACCCCAAAGGGGCTGCCAAGGCAGGGGCCTTTTGCTGATTGAATTTCGCAGAGACGTCCAAAGATCTAGTTTCTCATTCTCGCGCAGCAACTATGACAACTATGAAGCTCCCACCTGTCCTTCAGCCATTGTCATCATTTCCGCCTCGATCGCTAGGCGCACTTCACGGCGCACAACGCCAAGGACCCGGTCGAGACCAAGAGGTCATGGAGTCCGGGCTTCTTGTTATGGTCACGGCGGGCCTGCGTTGCTGCAGGTGGATCGACCGAATCAATGAACGGTACCAGAAAGGCCTATACCCCACCAAGATCATCATCTACCAGGCGAAGACGAGTCGGACATGTGTTCAAGGCGGCAATATAGAGTGTCATGTCGGTTGGTAGCCACAAACGCCTCATCTCCGCTGAAGACAAACGCATGACAGACCCACCATCTCAGAATCATCCACCCTGAAACTCGAAGCTTGGCTCAGGGCAAGCTCTTCGCCACCGGTGAGGAGCTTCGAGCGAAGTATCCCGAGCTTCCGTGTCTGCTCTGATCGGACGGAGGATTTCGAGGGACTTGGATGCGATGTCTGCAATACTGCACAGAGCAGTGGAGGCGGAGGCGGCAAGCACTACGAGTCCTCATGCACTGGATGCAGCGCTGACTAATGCTCCACAGAGGAACTAGGGTGGAGCATTGGGTGACTGCCCAGAATTTCTGCTGCCCAAAGCGGCTGCAATCGACGGCCAAAATGGAGCATCATCCGACAAAATTGCTAGAATCACTCTGCTAGCAGCTCTTGCAGTAAATCCACTGGATTGCATTGGACACGCCGATTCGCGGGACACAGATTCGATGTTCAGCCTGCGGCAGGCATGGGGGCATTTGCAGTGCAGGCCCTTCTCAGAACAAGTCCGAACAATGAACTCAAAAGTCTTCGGTAATAGGAACGAGCTAAAGTTCGATCTCACAGCCAAACTCGTCAGCTGGGGTGGACGGACAGGTGCGGGTTGCAACCATCGCCTCCGAGGATTCGGCTTCAGTGGCGCAACTCGTTCAATATCAGACGGTTGCTTTGTGTGCGCTCTTTCTCCCTGCCCTGTCCCATCTCGTGCTCACGATAGCACACGGCATAGTACAATTTAGGTTGTTGCTCGCAGTTGGCAGCTTCATTTTCATGTTGCTTCTTGCTTGACATGTGTTTGTCGACGGGGCTTATTGATTCCCGCATCGGAGGCCTCACTCAGTGCTTCCTAGAGCCAAAGCAATAAAGCTTCACACCTGAAGCAGCATTTGCCCCAGGACCGGCTCCTCAAAACATTGCTTTCTGACAACCTGACCCTAAACCCACACTCAGCTCCATAATCCCGACCCTTGGCAGGTCCTTGCGCCAGGAGACGCCTCGCAGAGAGCGAGAGGACCACGCCGGTACAAAAAGTTGAGAGATTTTAGTTGCCTATCGAGGGCTTTGCCTGCTAAGCCATTGCAAGTTCATGATGTTGCACAAAGTTAATTATAGATGAGGCTTACGGGTCCGGTAAATCTTCGGACGGAGCAAGAAGCCGCCACTGATGTGAACACTGCGCAATTGGACCTTGCTCGCAGTCCTGGTGGAAAGCTGCCTCTGTCAGCGAGCTGAAAGATGACGGCCAGGGACTGACGGAAGAATTGGAGCTGCTTGTTGAACGGTTCTTTCTGAAGAGGTTCGCATCCTTAGGATGCCCGTGCATGTAGCGATGAAGAACTGCCACGATGCATGCAAAGGCGACAGTTCGCCACTGCGCTCGCCCCAAGCGCGCCGGGAGGTGAAACAGGCCAGCTAGCGGCATGCGGCGACCCAAAGCCGGTCGAGAGTGAGGAGTTCTGTTTTGATTTAATTGCACAACATCGTAAGCGAGTAGAATATTTGTCAGTACATGGAATGTGTGCGTGTCTCTCTCTACATATACTGTGCTGTAGTCGTTTACATACATACATCTGGAGAGGTATCAGCATGTATGTATGTATGTATGTATGTATGTATGTATGTATGTATGTATGTATATGTGTGTATGTTAGGGTGTCGCACATTCTCATGCGTGCCATCGCCGGGATTCGTGCGATTTTGGCAGGCGTTGAAATTGCGTTCTCTGGTATAGTAGTCACGGCAACCAGATGTATGCATAAGTACCCAAGGATTGCCTTCGCCTTCGCATGTCTATGTAAGTTTCAAAACGAATATACAAGTGTACATGGAAGTATGCAATCGGCAACGTTCTCATTTAAGAAGCCCACCCAATTTCGCATACCTGCATGCGGATGTCACGACAGCTAGCTCTGTGGAGCTTGCGGGAGTTGTCGTTTGCCAGTTTACCGCAGTGGTACCGTGGTAGCGACCAAGGTCAAAATCGCGTTTAGGGGCTCATTTGCCCCCCCCCCCCTCACCCCCGGCGCCACCATGCAAATGATTGATTTACACGCACGTAAGACACGGCCCCCGGTCACCACAAGGCTCCTTTATCCAGCATGTTTAGACTGCAAGATCGGCACTAGTTTCATGCAGCTTTTCTGCTTCTTTTATTGCACGCTAAATTCGCAACCACCGTTAGCATTTGCCAAAGACAGTGGGTAGCCTCTGGACTAGTCTCAGTACATCACTGACAGTATGTCCTTGATCCACTAGGAGGCAGAAAGCTGGTTAGCATGTGCCGGCCCGAAGTTGCCAACATACTCAGGAAGTGTTTTACTTGTACATAATTATTCCAAGCCTCCGCCACGCTCGATTGATTCGCAGTGCTGTGCGGCAATAGATTCGCTGGACGAGTCGCCACACCCTTTCCCTGCTATGATTCCTTCCTAGCTCTCGTGGCCCTCTTTTCGAGTTTCTTTTGAACAGCCATGCGCGACGACCTGTAACAGCAACACTTCGTGACAGGCAATGGGGCCGCACCGGAGCATAGCAGACATTGGTGGGATCCCAAGAGTGCGAGGTAGGTCCTGCACCACTGCTCGGGCCGCAGTTCTGAATTCATCCCGACTATGCACCTACAAGGCGAGAGAGATTGAGAGAGAGAGAGAGAGAGAGCGTGTGTGGGGTAGTGGGCCTTTAGCACTGTGCGCCAGGACTCTTTCTTTCAGAATCGCTGTGTTCCTAGACGACAGGTTGTAAATATCATGGCTCCAGTCCCCCTTCCGCCGAGTAGCTGTCGTTTATCTGGCAGGCTCAGAAGGCTTGCTTTTCTTCTCTCCTCCGTCCAGGTGTCCGCAGGAGTAGATCCGCCTTGGGTTGCTCCCGCTTCGTAGAGTCGTAGATGATCCTTCGCTTCGGCTTGCAAAAAGTGCGGTTTGAATGTTGGCAAGGCCCGGCAAGCGAGTGGGCATCCACGCAGTTGAATAACGTCGGCGGTGTATGTGCATAGCAAGACGTGATCATCGTACTGCCTGAGTTCTTCCGGTGGGAAAGATTGTACAATGATCGATGCCTTCATCACTCATCGAGAGGAGCACCGCTTTGACGTGCCTGCAACCGTGACGCGTCGACGCTCCAGCCCATTGCCGGTACCGAAGGCATCGACCGCATGCATTTCTGATCACAGTAGCGGGAAGGTAAGCGTTGCACTCCGGAGCAGAAGCCAATTACTCTCCGTTGCTCACCCCAATCGTACTTTCTTTCCTGTTTTCGTGCGAGGCTTCGCGAGAGACTTCCGAAAAGTGCAGATATTTCTGCAGCCTCCTCAGGGGTTCGCGAAGGCTTCTGTGAAGCGGTGATTCTCTTGGCCCAGCAGCAGGCTCAGACTGGACTGAAGCCACCGTCCAGTTTGCTGCTCATATCGTTCAGGTGAGCCCCCATACGGACAGAGGCGCGCCGCATCTGACAGGCTGCATTGGCAGGACCTCGAGTGCTTGAGAGTCGGGAGCAATTCCTCGGTGCCCTGCACTGTCGCGGAGCCGTTGTTACATGACAGATTCGGCATCCCTCGACGTGCCCACGACATTGTTCAGACATGGCCTTGAACAATACTTGGAGCGAAACTTGTGGAAGCACTCTTCACCCATCAACGGCGGTGGGCTCTCCCCCGGCTCAAAGGTAACCTGCCACCGGAGCTGCTTTGAAGTGATCATTAGCTGTACATTGACAATGCATTACCAGGTGCGCAGTTTCAATTTTCAATATCATAGTTTTGCTGTGCAAAGTGCTGTGGCTGTCAGGACTTTCCAGCTGCTGGCCATGCGACACAACATCACAGGCTGAGCGCACCTGGGAGGCAACGCACCAGATCGCAAGCCCTGCAGGCGTTTCGACACGCCCGCCGGCGAGGAAGCCTTGATGGGCTCGGCCCTCACAGACTCGCACATGCACGGAACAATGTGACAAACCCATCAGAGCCGTACACAAGTTCTTACTTGTAGCCACAGCTAGGTTGGCCGAGGATGTGTAGGAACCGCCACAATTTTTGGGTATGCTGCATGCAACCTGCTTCGCACTCTTCAGGGCGTGCTCGTTCACAAACCCCAGACTACCACCGGCGCTACGCGCAGAATGCTGCAGGCTCGCAGATGACTGGCCAAGCTCGTGCTGTAACTCTGGAAAACCTAGCAGCTTCCCTTTCTGGCGTCCTGCAGACCGTAATTTCAACGAGTGGTGTCATTTCCAAAATCTGATGTCGGCTTTGTCATCACAGTAGAAGAATCTTGGGTGGACCCTGAATCGCATCTTTCCAGGCACCTCGCTGCCCGGCTGCAGCACTGCCCAGGCCGGTTTGCTCACGACTTCAACTGTGGTCTTTCTTGACAGAGGAACTAACTACACTTGGCGTCCTAACTGAGTACATTGCTGATGATTTACTAGTGGCCCGAAGTTCAGCATGCGAAAGCAAGGCCAGGATTCAGAACAGCCCAACTCGATGACAACTCGATGGAACGATAAGCCTGCGGGCATGCGGCTTCAATCGCTTGAGGCTTCAGTATCTGTGCGGGGTCCTGCCTGTTTCGCTCACGAAAAAGTGAGTTGCACTGCTTCGGGAGCCTCGGAGCACGCGAAGCTCTCCAAAAAAGCTTTGGCCGGAACTGTCAATATGGTGGAAGACAATAATGTACCGGATAATGCAACAGAGACCTGATGACACTGTCACACAGTATCAGAATATCACAAGGTGGCATCTGTTCCAGAAAGTCCTCGCAGCGTGCGGTCACTTCAGCATGGAGCCAAGAGTGAGGATCTGCAACAACTGGATCGAGGTGCTTCACAGAGCCGTAGGTTACGCTGACACTAGCAAACTGACCAGTTGCTAGTACACGCGCGAACCTTGATGGGGTATGGTTTGGTGTCCGAATCTTATGGATGCGTTTGGTCACTAGAGAAAACCGGTCCTGGAGATAGTCAAGTTTTCATTTGCTGCTGGTGGCTGGGGCTTGCATTTCTGGATGTACATTTGGAGCCGTGCCGGCTCAAGCTCTCGCTTGTTTGCAAAATTCGCTCGGACCGCGACGTGCGCTCGCGGAGGTCTTGTGCCGCTCTTTTTTTTTACGCCCTCTGCTGACCTATGTCGATGTTCTATGTATCTTCCCCCTGACGAGGCTGGAGGTCCCCAATCATCATGTCAAGGATTGGCTAGTGGTGGCCCTCTCATGCCCGCAATGTCCTTCTTCATCTCGTGGCTGCTCCTGTTGACACTTGTCGACAGCTTGCGCTACGAGGACAGTTTGTGCTAAATTCTTGATGTCAATGCTTTCAAGCGTCTCCGGATGCGAGCACAGGAGCAAACAGCGAACCAGTCTGACCGCATTGTCCAGGAGAGGGTTTTGCCTCCGATGTCAAGCTACGCGGGCACGACAAATCTACGACAACATGCATCCAAGTAAATGGCGAGTGAGTGTCAGTGGCTTTGAAGAATGCACCACCAACTGTAAGAACCCAAGACATGCACAAGCGAGACAGCATCGGCAAGTCTGCCTCAGCACGAGACGGCACACTTCAAGGCTGGATGATTGCAAAATATCCAGCCTTCAGGGGTGCACAAAGGTCCAACATCTACATGTCGCTGTGTGCATAATGGGGCACTTGTGTGGTTGCTCTTATATATAAGGCTTATGCATTCTTGGGCTGCCCTGCTTCGTTTCAGCGTACGCATGGTCTATCTAACAGGGCAAGGTTCTCGGTGGTCCAAGGCTTAGTTCACGATGAACTTCCTCTGTAGTCAAAAACCCTTGTCATTCAACCCTGCTTAGCGACTCGTTCAGTAGTGCAGGGAGAAAGAAACATTTGTTGAGCAGGGCTTAGACCCTAAGTGGGTTCAGCTGCGTATCTGCCTTGCCTGTGTAGTGTTGGCCCTCTGCGCTCGACAACGCCAAAGATCAGAAATTTTACTCCAAAAGGACACTCTCCCATCAAGGCATCGGGTCTCGCAAAAGATGCTTCAGGATTTGTTGGCCTCAAGCGTGTTTTTAAATCACGGTGTGCCGTTCGGTAGCGAACCAGTTATCCCGTCTGATCTGTCAAAAGATGGCAGGATCCGGACAAAATTCTAGACGAGGACACGTGAGTGCTTTGGAGCACCGGCTTGGCATGTTTGTCTGTGCCGATGTCACTTCTCCTGAAACTCTCATAACTTTTGTTGTCCTGGTCATTGAATAGGAGGAGAAGGAGGAGGAGGAGCAGGAGCACGAGTAGGAGTAGGAGCAGAAGCAACAGCATCAGCAGCAGTAGCAGCAGTAGCAACGGTAGTAGTAGTCGTCGTCGTGGTCGTCGTCGTAGTATGCAATACAGCTGAGTAGTACCAACAGTATCAGTAGTACTAGTTTCTAGTGGTAGCAGTAGCAGTAGTAGTAGTAGTAGTAGCAGTAGTAGTAGTAGTAGTAGTAGTAGTAGTAGTACCAGTAGTAGCAGTAGTAGTAGTAGTAGTAGTAGTAGTAGTAGTCGTAGTAGTAGTAGTACCAGTAGTAGTAGTAGTAGTAGTAGTAGTAGTCGTAGTCGTAGTAGTAGTAGTACCAGTAGTAGTAGCAGTAGCAGCAGGAGTAGCAGTAGTAGCAGTAGTAGTAGGACTAGGACTAGTCGTAGTAGTAGTAGTAGTAG